CTCCGGTCCCAAAGTGCAGTTGTCCTCTTACCCGTGGCAGTAGGCTGGTGGTCTGTCTCTGGTCCTAGTCGTCCACTGACGCCTCTCCTCCTCCTTTGACTTCTACTTCTTCTTCTTGATCTTCTCTCTTCCCCCCGTGTCTCTCTCCTTCTCTCCTTCTCTCCCTCTCTCCCTCTTTATTCTCTCTCTCTCTCTCCGGAGTTGCCAATAGTCAGCTGTGCCGCACACCCTCCGCTGACGTGAGCTCCAAACACTTTGTGCGTCCCCGCTGCCGAGTCTGAGCATAAACAAGCTCACTCTGTCCCTCGGTTCGCACGGTCCTTCATCTCCCATCCATTCTCACCCAGTCTCTCTCTCTTTCTCTCTCTCTCTCTCTCTCTGTCTCAACCACTCATGTAGCAGACACAGTCGGGGGGGGGGATACAGCTCTTTAACTAGGCTCCTCCCTCCCTGATCCCTCCCTCCCTCTCTCTCTCTCTCTGCCTCGCTGCCTCCTTGGCTGGGAGGCTCCGCTCTTCTCCCTGGGAACGAAAGCTTCCATGGGAGAATCAGAGAGAGTGCAGTTCCAATTAGAATGAGAATGGGATCGACTTGGCCTCTGTGGCCACAAATAATGCAGACATTCACCAAAACAAAGTGCGGTGCAGTTTTACACCCCCTCCTCCTTCTCCAGACCCCCGTTACCCCCTTTTTTCAAATTCTATGTGCGTCACCGAATCATGCAATCCATCAGACGCCTTCCCGCGTGGAATGGATAAAACGGCATTAGTATTCAGGACCAAAGTTGTAGTATTCATTAGTTTTCAATTTATATTAGTGGGTAAATTAGATTCATAGTCACCCTCTCTGGGAGCCATGATGGAAGAAGTCATAAAATGTCCAAACGCACGCCATGCTTACTAACAACTTCCAGCGTGGTTTCATGGTAAATATTTTAAAGTGCCATTTGGTTTGACTCACTTATGTGATTCGCACTAATGCGGAAGAGAAACTGCAGTAGCTCTACTGCGAGACTCTACTCCACGGCCTTCGAGATGCTGCAGCTTTTAATTCCATTTTAGAATCAGGATTTGAATATTAAACTTCTCGACTGAAGTGTTTGTGTTCTCCTGTGAAGTTAATGTGGTGAAGAAGCAGCTTCGTTTTCCTGCTCGCTGCAAAAACCATAAACATTTATGACGTTTTATTACGTTTGTTTAAACATATTAATCCCAGGACTTTACAGGGATTATCTTTCCTCAAGTGATGGGTAAACATTTTCGTCAACAGTGGAACCTCCAGGTCCGAGCTCGTATCTCGAATTGTCCCATAAGAAATAATGCTCCGAGCTCTCGGCCCCCTAGTGTCGATGTCTGTAAATGTGCCTCAAATCTGTACTCGTATCTCGAAGCAGAAATGTACTCGAAGACTTGCTCGTATCTCGAAATACTCGCATCTTGAGGTTGAATGCCTTTGAATGTGGAAGCCTGTGTTGGGTTCACATCCCAGTCATGAGTTAGTGATGTGAGTGAATCTACTCTGTCTGGAGTTAAACATTCAAACCTAAATCATCAACGTTTGGCAGCAGCACACGGACACTTGATCACATCCCCTGACTCTGGTCAGGATGGATAAAAATATGATGTTGGTGTATTTGTTTGAACATTGTATTTGTTCAGGATGAGGAGAAAATAGTTGTTTGTTTGTTTTGGAAGAAGAATGAATTTTATTGGTCCGTGCCCATGTGCAGACATTTTAAACAACCAATCCCTGTGGAGCAGTGAGTGCTTTTATCAACTCCCAGGGACCGAGGTACAATTTCTGGTACTTGCTCAACAGACCCCAGCCTGGATGGGATTTGATCTGATGATGATGGTCGATAACAAGCCCCTTACCACCATATACCTGATACCACACCATCTGCCCTCTATTGTTTTGAACTAAGTACTGCGTTTTTTTATTTTTTTTATTCTGGTTTTTAACAAACGTTCATCGGTGGTTGAACCTTAATCAGGTCCAGTCCCGGTCTCCTGTTTACACTCTTATTCTGGTTTTGAACAAACGTTCATCGATGGTTGAACCTTAATCAGGTCTGGATTCCAGTCCCGGTCTCCTGTTTACACTCTGGATTCTGTAAAGATTAGTTCATATTTCCCACCTCTCCCGTAGATACGTATATTTTTTTCCTATAAAGTCGACTTTGTTTGAGAAATTACAAACCTCAGTTTTGCGAACAATCACTTGATGTTTTGGGTTTTTTTTCCGTTCACAGTTCAATCACAGCCAATGATTGACTGAATACTTTAACTACTGGTTCTGTGATTTCTTCACTTGTCCCTGAAGAAGAACGGTGACTTGTCGTGGGTTAACACCCTGACATCCTGTTCCACTGCAGGTCTACACTGATTTATTTTTTTTTCCTTCCTTCTTCAGACTCAGTTAAATCCTTGCCAGTTATTCTCAGCTCGCAGCAGCGTCGCTCACTGTTTCTCAGCGTCGAGATTCTGATCCGTTTTGTCTCCGCCTCTGCTGGGTTTGTTCTCGGTGGCACCGATGCCTTTGAACTTGATGACGCTCCTCCGACAGTCCTTGACACCTGGAAATGTTTTGATAAATTTGCACATCCTTCTCCCTCTTTGTGAGAATCAACACTTTTACTTCTTAGGCCGCAGCCGAGCTCTTTTGTTTTCATCTGTGGTGGATTCAAAAGTGACAGCTCCAACCGCAATCCAAACTCTGAGACGTCGATCCAATCTGGAAAATAAACCTCGGTTTTTACTGCAGTTCAAATATTGGGTGTAGTATTATCTGAGTACACGGTGTATGTGATTGTATTTAGGTCAGCTACCAATAGGGCTAGTACGTAACTTTTCCAAATAAAAAACAAATGCATGAGGTAAAAAAAAAAGAATCGTAGTGACTTTTGATTTTGACTTTTGTCTCGGACTTTTGCGTCGAGAAAGTTCTAAGGATTTAAACCTCATGTTCAGGCGTCATTATTGTATAAATGACACACACTTACCATTACTGTAATACACAAACCATACACCAGGGGCAGTAGACTATTGAATATAGTTAACCAAACCAAATAGTTGACCAAAATCAAAACTTTTACTTCTTTTTATTTTCTTGTTTTTGTTTTGATAGTAATAGGAATGACATTTTCCCTTGATTGATAACGATTAATCGTGATTAATCCAGAACTACAATCTGTGTGTATTACAACACATTTGGACAAGTCTGTAATTGATGATGTGAAACCAACACTGGTCTGTCTGACTGACTGACTGACTGACTGATGTAAAACCAACACTGGTCCATCTGTCTGACTGACTGACTGACTGACTTACTGACTGACTGACTGACTGTCTGTCTGCAACCTGAACGTTGTCCGTCATTGTTAGCATATCACATACTATTGTTAGCGTTCAAACAGTCAAACAGTTTTTTTTTTCAACTTCAACCTGAACGTTGTCAGTGCGTCTTGCGCTCGTTCAGACCAATCCCCTGATGTGACAGAACGGGCTGTTTGTGAATGACTGTATTTTTATATCCTGCCTTCACATGATCACAGCCTGTTCTTGTAAATGACTGTTTATTTTTGACTGATCCAAATAATACATCCAGACGTCTCACGTTGCAGCTATTCTTGTCTGGTGCGGTTGTCTGGCTTGGATTGTTTTTGTAGGATTTTTTTTTTTTTTTTTTTTCAGTGCTTTCCCAATAATCAAAAGAGTTCCGTCACAGAAGTGAAATATTTCAGGTTTTTTTTTATGAAAATGTAATAATGGCCCAGTAATGTCAGGCATGTCAAACCATCAAATGGATCTGCACACAGTGTCCGGATTTTTCAATTGAACTGAAACAGAAGAGAAAATAGGTTTTAGATTTTTCTTTTTTTTTCCGTAGTTGCGTCGTTTGAAGCGACTGATCCGTCGACGGAGCGCTGACGGCTCTGGTATTTATCCTGAGGTGTTACAGTTCTGATGATGTGTGAGCTTCTCCACGTTGTTCACATTAAGATGTTCACTGTAGGTCAACTCTTATCACACACTCTTCACAGTTAGAGGCTGCAGTGAAATGATCTGAAAGTGTTTGAGTTTTTTGTTTTGTTAACTAAATGTAATTTGGGAAAACTACAACAATGTTGTGCAGAAGTTCTAACAGTTCTCACGACCTGAGTGTGTGACTGAGGAGCGGTCAGTCAGTGGAGATTAGGTCCAAAATGATATGTACAGTATATGTCTAAGGACTATATGGCAGTGGTTTTCAACCTTGTGGTCGTGTCCCAACGTGGGGTCACCTGGAGTTAACATGCGGTCACCTTGAATGTCTAGTAATTTATGATGAAAAAAAAAAAATACTGATAGAAATATTTTTGCATCCTGCCCTGTTTAAGTGTTTGTTTTTTCAGTAATAATTTTCAGCCAAGCCAAGCAAATAAAAAATGTCACGGATCTGACTTCGTATTATCAACACAGTAGAACAAACATGAAAAACCTGTTGACCTCTGACCAAGAAACATAGCTAATTATAGTTATTATAATTGTAAAAGTTTTGAAATATTATACTATACTAATGTGAAATAGATCCAGATTTTTTTTTTGTTTTCTGTCATTGAACCTCATAGGTGTTTGGGTGGAGTTGAGGGGATTTGTTTTTGTCATTTTCCTGCGTGAACCTTCATGTTTCCTCCACCTGTCTCCACCAGCACACACCGAAAACAAACACCCTTTAAAATAATCCAGAAAGTGGTCGTTACCAGGGAACACCAGTCATTTTGGCCCAAAAAGAACATAAAATACCAAAAGGAGTGAAATAAAAACAAC